AAAAAAGTTTAAAAAAAAAAAAAAAAAGACGTGCAAATATGCTCCGCTGCTTGGGACTGGCCCAAAATAACAATCAAGTCCTAAAGCAAACTGAACTGCTTTGTTGAGTTGCGGTGCCCCAAACAGTGCTTGCCTGTCAGGCATATCAGTAACTTGACCCCATTATTTGGTTACTCAATGCCTTAATAACAAGACCAACAGACACACATTATTTTGGGAGTAAATCAGATTTCTACAAGCCTGTTTTCATAACTTTGCAATGCCCAATTTCAGCTTTCATCAGCTCACGGGCAGCAACCAGAAGCAAATAGGARTAACACTCACTTAGTYCTGTGACAGCYGCTATGAGTAACTTTGCCCAAAATRYAGTTTTTGAGTTTTTAGCAGATGTAACTTAAAATGTTGGACAACCTGTACCTCTGGGAAAATTTTTTCCTCTCTTTCAATAGTTGGAAAACTCCCATTTAGAGATATCTAAAATTAAACTTCTGATGCATTTTCTGAACTGATATACTCTACAAGTTGGTATACTCTACAAGAAATTCCTCAGAAACTCATCTTCCACTGGTCAGTTCAAACATCTGCACAAATAGCTTTTGTTTAATGCAACTGCAGACACAGGGGAGCAGCTGGTAGGCAGTTCCAGTTGCAAATTATCTGTACTAGTCAGAAATTGCCCATCCTGAGAAAGCTGGTGGAAGACTGGCCCACAGTCAAAACTGGGAATATAGCCTTGGAAACTCTTCAATTCAGTCTYAGGTTGAGGTGCCAAAATTAGTTTCATTTGGGTTTTTTTAAGGCTGTTTCATACCTGAGAACTCCTGCACCATTCCACATCACTCAAACACTATGGCAGCTGGGCACGGATACCAGAAGACACAGTGTGAAACATGATTCATTGTACWCGCAGCCAATAGATAATTTTAATACCATAATACGCACTGATGAAGAGTAGGGCCTCTTCTCAGCCAACATTTGTCTGGCAGAATGACATGCTGTATACATATGCCTGGCTTATTCATGGTCCTTGTCCTTGTCCTAGTCCTTGTGCTCCTCCAGCATCCACAGTCACTGAATTAGGAATGTTAAACAGTGCATCCTCATCTTTCCCTTTCAGCACCTGTTGTGGACCTTTGCTCATGCACTTGCCTAAATCCCTTTTTGAGTCTGTAACACAGTCTACCTCCACAAAATCTTGTGGTCTCCAATTTCAGCAATACAACAGCTGCATTAAAATTTTTATAAGTTTTAAACTCATTGCCTACTTATTTCAACAAGTGTCCCTTCTAATAATATTATTAATTTTGTTGAATAACAGCTCAACATTCAGTTTATTTATTATCTAGAGGATATTTTAAAGGTCACTCAGATTTCCCCTTCAGCTTTTTCATGCCAAAAATGACAGCCTCCATCCCTTGTAAGGCAGCTGCTTCACCCCCTTGATCATTTAGAAACAAGGATAACTTCCTTAATTCCATAAGGTCCTGCCTAGATATACACACCTGAACTGGACCAGCAGTCAGGGTTTGGTTACTCTTACCAAGGTTTCACAGACCAGCAGTTTTGTTTCTGAGTAAGGGTTTAGTTGACTTTTTTCTCTGCTGCTTCCCACATTGGTTTCAGAGGAGCAGCAGCAGTGACCAAGGTCTCCTTCCTGAGCACAAGTGGCACTGCTGAGCTCAGCATCAGGTACACAATGTTTCAATGATTCTTTCAGATCTGCATTGCSTCACCTTTATCTACACCGAAACTTATCTGCCACTTTTCAATTCATTTCTTTGCTTGAGGTCCAACTGACTTGCAGCCAAGTTTCATTTCAAAAGCAGCTGTAAACTGGCCATTTCCCTGACTGGCCTCTTGGCTTCTTTCCCTCCTGTTTGTGTGGGTTTTTTTCCACAGTGCTAGTGTTGCCTTTTCCCTCTGTAGAACAAACAGAAAGCACTTACTTTCATTTTCCCTTTTCCCAACTCACTGCCTTGATATAACCTTGTTACAACAATTTCTGAGCCAAGCTGGTGGTGATTGCTTTATTTATAATATGCTTATGAGATCATTCATAATAGGCATGTGCTGCCTGTTCTCCTGCCTAATTACTTAAAAGTATCCTCTTGCAAGATTCAAGTAAAAATGTAGGAAAAGGGAGTTTTCTTCTATTTCCAAAATGTTCAGCTCTATTTGAAATCAGTGGAAACAATATGACTCAGTTTTGAAATTAACTTATGTTACAAGGATTGCCTCTTTACAAGATCCTTTATAATTTTGTTCTCTGTTTAAATGAAGCAATGCTGAAGAACAAGTATGCTAATTATGCCAAAAACACTGTTCAGRAGCCTTTTCACATCTTTGATTGTYTGCTGTGCTTACATAGTTATAGRGAAGAGATGCAGAGACAACAAGAAGACTCATGAATATTCAAAAAAWTTTGATCCACAAAAAGTGGAAAARGAGAAAAAAAMCCCACACCCTGAAAATTGATTAGCSTMYAACTTAAAAATATATCTAAGTGTACAGTCCTGTAAACAGCTCTCTGAGACATAGTCAGGAAAACCTGAAGTTGAAGGCCCATAAAATGCATAGGTCTACGGAATACACACAAATAAAACTTCTCTTTTAATGCAGAATAAACTTTAAGGAACATCAGTAAAGGGTCCTCCAGTAAAGAAAAAGGTTTGGGGATAAGATCATAAGAACCCAGAAGTCAGTATAGTGTAAAGCCAAGAGAGATTCCTCTTCTGCCCATGAGGGTGGTCACTGCCAGATGTTTAGGGAAGGATATGGAAAGGACACAGAAGGATCCTTCTCTCAACAAACTTTTGTCAGGAAAGGATCACCAGATTCTTTCAGTCCCTCCCAATCTGGTATTCTATCATTCTACAATTCTATGATCTAGTTCTAGATCATAGAAACCATCTTTTTAAATACTTTCTGAATGGGAAACCACATGTAYATTTTTAAGGGCCCATGGTGGACTTCTTTCAAATGTACTTAATCTGTATCTATATACTGTGTTTCATATGTCTTTCATAATTTAATTGCATTTGGGYTTTAGCTTTCTGTTTGGTMATTTCCCCCCAGATTTCTGCACCCCAAGGAGAGATGAGTCACTCTAAGTACAAGGTCCTTGACAGAATCCCATTTATGGATGAGAAAGAGATAATTTCCAGCTGAGACTCGAGCAAGAAGTAATACATTTATTAAATGCTAAAAATGACATCAGCCATTGAATGGTTGTCCTGGGACCATTTCTGGTGACRTGACATAGCTGCTCCTTTGACCTTTTTTATGTTTCTGGTTTGTAACTGTACTTTGGTTTCCCTAACAAGGTACTGTTTGAGTGGAACTGCCAAATAGTCACACTGGAGARAGCAATATATTTATTTAAAAAATAAAATTACATTAATTCAAYAAATATTGTACAGTTGTTTTAAAAGTTTTGTTTTCCTAGCAACTAGGCACAACAAGGATATTACCTATGTTTATTCATTTGGATTCTTCATTGCTAATTGTGTACTTAGTTATTATCTAGTGCACCGTTAATATCATTATTCAATCATTTAAAAAAAATGTTAATTTTTAAAGGGTTTTTACACACAGATATGGAGAACTGAAATATTTTTAGTACTGGTACCCCATCGTGCCACTGCAAGATGACTTCCATGGGAAGCTAGAGGAAGGAATTATACTTCCTAGAATTTTCAAACATCATGCTTTTCTGAGACTCTTCCAGAAGGCATCAGGACAGAGAAAATTTCATTACAGCTCTTGTTTGCAATATTTCCTGTAGATTCAAAGCTTGTGCATAAAAATAGATGTTTGTATTTCCTTGTAGGTCTMACCATGGAGCCTGTGAGCTACGACAGTTTGGGATGTAAAATGTGAATGATTTTCTTGATGCTGCGAGGACTCGTACATCTGTAAGGGGCATGTCCTGGTCTGGGATTACTTTGTGAGGCTTTACAGTAATGCAGAGAGTGTCATCTGAAAACATACTTAGCTGAGGCAAAAAAAACCCAAAAAAACAAAACAAAACAAAACAAAAAAAAAAAAAAAAAACCCAAAAAAACAAAACAAAACAAAACAAAAAAAAAAACCAAAAAAAACCCCAAGAAAACCTATAATTGCCATTCTCTATGAAAGCACTGTTAGAATTACAAAGAACTGGAAGTCTTGAGTATGCTTGGGTGCAAATTTCTCTGCATGTTTTGTCCCTTGAAACAGAGATTTGTGTTTTCAAAGAAAAAACAGTTCAAAAACTCTGATATTTTATTTTTCTGATTCATTGAGCAATATTTTTCTGACATGCTTTTAGAGTGTTTGGGTATCAAATGTAAATCTTTTGTTGARAGAAATTGATAACCATCAAGGATTCTCTACTGACTTTGGAAAGGAAGTATTTTGAACCTAATTTTTCTAGCCAGCTGAGGTACTAGGCAACAAACTCAGGGCTTAGTAATAAGCTTTCCATCTCAAAGAAGAGAGAAATGCTGTAGTCCCTACACCTGCATTGGCTCAACTTGACACAAACAAGAAATATGAATGAGGAAAGGAAGGAATTTGAATTGGGTYCAGAGCAGATAGGAAATGGGATAGGGTTCCTACCATGCAACAGAAGGGATATATGGAGTGAGTAGGAAACAGGCTTCTCCAAATTAATTGAAACATTGAGGCTACCAAYAAGAAACTTCAATGTCAGATATCAGTCTAAAATTGTCTTGTCCATCTCTCTTTCCAATTTGTGATCAACAAACTGTTTATTAGAATATCATGCCTTTATCCTTAAGCTTGTGTTTTACATAAACCTCAAGGAACTGGAAGGACACATGGTTAACTCCTGCTGGAATAATCTCTTCTGGCAGCCTCTGAGACCATTTTGGAAAGCCTCAGAAGCGAGATGTTTCCCATCAGGCTGCAGCAATACCTTTGTGAGGTGGYATTACTGGGAGCCAGACGCAGCAAGAGGTCTCCCATCCTGCCTTTGTTGGCATGAACCTGCCCCAGCAAGAAACAGCTGGTACAGACAACAACAAAAACTGTTCAAACTGMCTTTTGCTGATCCAGACATTATTCAGCCGGTAAGTCATCTCCATAAAAGTGAAGGAAGGATGATGGGAATTTGAGGATAGCCAATGACAGTACTAATTAACATAAAGGAAACACTTCTTATTCACAAGCAAATTTTGTTTCCCATGAAAATTTGCAAACAGGATGAAGATAGTTCTCCAACCCTTTTTTTTTCAAGGGGGAAAAAAAGTAAAATTAAAAAATGAAAGCAACATGAGGGCAGGACTGCCTGGCTACATYGGCAGTTCTGACTGGTCAGTGGAAGTGAGAAGCTCCATTTCAAGCCTGCCATTGACAATGTGCCATTGAAAAGTGTTAAGATCTGAGTATGACTCTGTACCTTGGCAGCAGTGGTAACACTGAACTGGCCACGCAASAGTGAGGACAGGATGACTGAAGACACAGAGAAGTTTAAAAGTCATGACAAACCTGTTGGAGTGTATGGAGACMCTGGAAGACTGATGATACCAACCGGTGTGATGGAGGGGCCCTTTCTCCARAAGTACCTGTTGTGCCACCAAGAARTTGAGGAATATGGAAATTGGCAGCTTGGTCCTGGTCTCTCTTGGTGTTACCATGAGTGGACAGCCACCGGCGTCTCACTTCAGGCTGCCAGCTGTTCCTGCTGTAAAGGCTAACCAGGTACTCAGCTTGGTGCAGTAGCTTTGCTCAAGATGCATTWCTGGAGACCAAAATTAAAGAACCTGTAATTATTTTCTTTGTGTGTATCTGAAGTCATCAGGCTCCCTAACCTGGGTTGCTCTTCCATGCAAAACTGTTTAAACTTACAGAGYTCCCGATTCCCTGACAAGGGTGCAAAGCGGTTACACCAAGCTCATTTTCCCTCCTGCTTCACGAGTTTAACCACAAGAGCCAAAGTCCCTGAGACCTCACACTCAGGTGCTAGACCCGCTCAAACCCAGAGGTTTTCAAACCTGCTCCCAGCTCCAGGCAGTCGGCGGTGGCCGTGGCCGAGAAGCGGTTCTGGGCAGTGGGAACACTGGGGTCACGCGTGGGGCGGGACGGGAGAAGGAAAACACCGCGCCCGCGGCTCCGTGCCAAGTTTCGCTTCGGCGAGAAGGGAAAACGAAACCGAGCCGTTCCCCGCGGTCCTGCACGGCGGGGCGGGACGGGCGGGGATGGGAGGCGGTCACCGCGCGTTTAAATGGGGAGCGCCGGGCACCTCTCTGCAGCTTGCGAGCCAAGCTGAGCCGAGCCGAGCCGAACCGAGCTGAGCCGAGCCGAGCCGAGCCGAGCTATGCAGCTGGCCGTGCTGAGCCTGTTGCTGTCCGTCGGGCGGGCGGTGCTGGCGGCGCTCCGGGGGCGCCTGGACGCGCTGTGCTGGAGCCTGGCTCCCCGGTCCCTGTCSCTGCCCCTGTCCCTGCCCGGCTGGCGGAACTCAGTCCCTCGGGACGAGCCGGAGCAGGAGCAGGAGGGGGACGTCGAGTCCCCGACGCCCACCAGCGTCAATTACCACTTCACCCGGCAGTGCAACTACAAGTGCGGCTTCTGCTTCCACACGGCCAAGACCTCCTTCGTGCTGCCCCTGGAGGAGGCCAAGCGGGGGCTGGCGATGCTCAAGGAGGCAGGTGAGGCTGCGGGAGGGGGAGCCGGAGGGAACCGGGAAGGGGGACCCTGCAGGACCAAGTGCCGTCGAAAAAGTTCTCCCGGGGATGTCCCTGTCTCGTTGTCGCAGGGCATTGATAGCATTGAGCAGGAGCGAGCCATGGGCAGTGTAAGTTCATAGAATCTTTATTTGGTCCTTCTCTAGGAATGGAGAAAATCAATTTCTCGGGAGGAGAACCGTTTCTTCAAGACAGAGGCGAATTTGTTGGCAAACTGGTCCAGTTTTGCAAGCAGGAGTTGGAGCTCCCCAGTGTCAGCATCGTTAGCAATGGCAGCCTGATCAGAAARCAGTGGTTCGAGAACTACGGTGAGGAGGGACCAGGGGCTCAGCTGCACCGGCACGGCTGGGGAGCGGCCGCGGGGCAGCCTCACCCTTCAGTGGGTGTGGGGGAAAGTGGGAGATGGTTKCGTAGCGATTTATTTATAGTAAATGTAAACCAAATGTAAATACCAGTGAAGTGGTGTTGTGAACATAGGCATTATATCTAAAAACTTCTTGGTATAATGGTGTAATAAAACAATGATGCCACTTGTCTCCATAGTGTTGGGGACACACACACACAAATTGTGTTTTGATAATGCTGTTGATGTGGTCTTTGTGGTTGATGGGATGACTCCACATAACTGTATTTACATCACATTTCGTGACAAATGACAAGGAAGTGAAAGTGAGCAGACTCCTGACAGCTTTTAGCTGAGGGACTGGATATTAATCAGTTTTTAAAACTTGATTTCAGGTGAATATTTAGATATTCTGGCAATTTCATGTGATAGTTTYGATGAGGATGTCAACATTTTAATTGGCCGTCGTCAAGGAAAGAAGAACCATGTGGAAAATCTGCATAAACTGAGACAGTGGTGCCGAGAATATGCTGTTGCTTTTAAAATAAATTCAGTCATCAACAGATTTAATGTTGAGGAAGATATGAATGAGCAGATCAAGGCACTCAACCCTGTGCGCTGGAAGGTAAGAAAGTAGTGTTTAACACAGGTTTTCTGTTCAAAGTAATAATGAAGTTTTGGAGTTGTCTGAACCTATACTGACCCAAGTCTTTCCTCCAGCCTCAGCTTGTGCTGGTGTTAGGAGCCTTCTTGTCAGTTTTGCATGGTGTTGAGACAGGTTRTGTCTCACTCTGCACTTAAATGGGGCCCAGTAGGTCAAGAATCTTTTTAGTGTTTTGTTATGTGCAAAAACCTACTATTTCAGTGTGTGTAGATCTAGGTAGTTTTATTAYATTAAAATTMATACAGAAAGACTTTAACATGTGAWAATGTGTTATGGTGTAGAGAAAAYTAGGAAAAATTAGTGAACAATGATACTTTAAAGGCAATACATTGTTAGCAAGATGTAAGTGTATATTAATGCTCTCTTATTGAATATTAGAGCTTAGTCTACACATATTAAGATTTTTTTTCCAGAAGTAAGTTTTAAAATGTGTTGAGATAATGTGACATAAAATGGAAGAACTTGTGGAAGAATTTTCCATTATTTGCTTCATTATTTGCTTCAGAATTACTCAGAAAAAAAAACAAAACCAAAAACAAAACCCGAAGAGCACTCTAAGTGAAATCTCAATCCTGCTAAAGGATAATAAGGAAAATCATTTAGAGCATTTAGAACTCTGCAATGTTAATTTACAAAAAAAAAAAAATAAAAAGGGCACCATGCCCTTTGTGTAGTATTCAGTTATCACAAGTTATGTCAGTGTGACTCGATTGACATAAAAATTAAAGACATTGCTACTGAGGTCTTTTATCCTCAAGGCAAGTGAAAACATAAAATCTTGACCTGTTTTCAGGTATTCCAGTGCCTGSTTATTGAAGGGGAGAACAGTGGTGAGGATGCTCTAAGAGAAGCAGAAAAGTTTGTCATCAGCAATGAAGACTTTGATCGGTTCCTKGATCGCCACAAAGATGTCTCCTGTTTGGTACCTGAATCTAATCAGAAGGTAAAAATTAAGCTGCCCTTTTGTCACTTTATTTTAAAATAATGTTAGAAAATGTGAAAGGAACAGGAAACTTTCATGGCAATTAATACTTTCCTTATTAAAGGTGGCTTAGAAGAGCCACAGTACTTTATCAGCAGCTGTTTTTGCTATGATGGAAGCCAAGATTTTTAATTTTAAAGCTTTTCATTGACAATATAGTTATAAGCAGAGAGCCCATTGATCCCAGTCCTGTGGAATCCATTGGAAGTACTCTTCCTGACTTGGGCACAAGACCCTGAAAAGGTTCAAAGTTAATGTAACATACTTTATACTCTTAGTTTCCTAATAGAGATTCACTATGAAGTTACCTTATGCCAGTGTCATCAGSCTACATGAAGTAAAACAGCATCCCAGCCAGTATTGTATTGGATACTGAGGAATAGTAGCCAACCAACAGCATTTTTGGGTAAACCCTCTCAAAATAAATTTGCATTTTTAACATTTGCTGTCTGAACTCCTTTAAATTGCACACGCAGTCTCTTAAATCAGGAGAAGACTCTTTGTGCTCCTGTAGAGCCTACCAGTTAACTTGATCAGCTGCCATCCAGCTTGCATTAGCCACACTAAAGGACTTTGGTGCCKAAGGGTGTAGCTCAGGCCAGTTTATAAATGTCTACAGACCATAAATGGTCTGGGTAGAATTAGAAGTCTCACCGTTAAGAAAGTTTATGAACCAAGTGRGGAAATAGTGAGTTGAACCAAGTTCAGGAATGCCTTAAATCTTCCATCTCATGTTCCTTTTCCTCTCCACAGATTAAGACTCCATTTACAGTTTACTTCTTAATATATGGAGAGCTCAGATGAGCAGAATGAGTTGCCTTTGCTGTGTAAGACATAAAAGTAGGACTGTGCAGTGTTGCATTTAAGGCATTCAGTGGCAGGGAGCACACATCAGAGAAAGAGTTAAAATGAGAACCCAGAACTGTTTCTACATATATATATATTTAATAATCGAGTCCTACAAAAAAGACTTCCCATGGTAGRTTTGGTTCCAGAAGACTGCTTTTGATTTCTGGTTAATCTGTGTGAAAGATGGAAACCAAACTCACCAGATTTCCTGTTCTACGAAGCAGCAAGCTCCAGCTACCCAGAGAATGTTAAGGAGGATCATGTAGAAGCCCATTTAGATAAGCAAACCTGTCTTTTTTCAGCTGTTGGCCTTTTTCTTGGTGTAGACCTGAGAGMTTTTTTACCTTTGAGCTGGGAGAACACCTTTGTCTGGTGGGGTAATAATTAAACAGCCTAGTTTAAATGGTCATGCATGTAATTTGTTTGGAAAATGGAATAATCATTCCAGCAAGCAAAACTCAAAAGCTCTTCTGGTATTCAAGTTAATCAAAAACTTTGATATTGTTTAAAACACCTTTATCCACTTGGGCAGCCACATTTCAGTTAGACACTGGAGAGGTCATATTCCAAGAATTACTAGTGTATTCATCATAAAGTTATTCTRGTAATTCTGTCATTTATTTATATATGTTTCATCCAGGCTCCCTGAAACAGTGGTGATACAGCAACTGTTTCAAAGATTTGTATTAGACATTGAATGAATAGTTGTTTGTTTTGTCCTTCATTTTTCACTACAACAGAATTTTGATTTGTATATTAATTTAGTCTTTTCTTTTGATCTGTTATAGATGAGGGATTCATACCTCATTCTGGATGAATATGTAAGTATTTTTTTTGATATGTGCTATTTGTAAGCTAATATATGTAKGTTTGTATGCTAATATATGTACGTATACAACAGTGATAACCAGTTAAATTTATTGTGCTTTCTATAAAACAATTTTACCATGTAGTACAAGAAATAGATGCGATTTATTCCTATCACACATATTGTGAACTATAATGTAGTATGACCTAAGGGGAAGTTGCCATCAGCTTTCATGCATAATCATTGCATCATAAATCTTAAAGTGTAGATGTTTATTTTTCAGAACATTGCCTTTTTTCTCTTTAATATAAAAATACCGAACTTGCCCTAAAAGTTAAGGGTCGAAGACCCTACTTAGTTTACACATAATTGGAGAGCCTATGCTTAGTCTTCAAGAATTGTGGTATTGCTTTGTTCCTGCTAAGGTATGTCACATGTCCAACCATGATTTTCTGASCCTTCTAAGGACTAGAGTGAATCTCTTCATGCACTTCCACAGGCTTCTGTGGAATTGCAGTCCAACTTGCTTGAGCCTRTAGAAAAATTAAGCTTTTGCAAATTGACTTTCTAACAATTTGTCTACTGATGTTCCAGATGCGTTTTCTAAACTGTAGAAATGGACGGAAAGAGCCTTCCAAGTCCATCCTGGATGTTGGCGTAGAAGCAGCTATAAAGTTCAGTGGATTTGATGAGAAGATGTTCCTAAGAAGAGGAGGAAAGTATGTGTGGAGTAAAGCTGACATGAAACTGGACTGGTGACTCAATTCACTGAGTTAGGGCAGTGAATTCTGTAAAGAGAGGTGTACATACACATCACTCATAGGTGAGTGTATACATGTATCTAATGCTTTTAACTACACTTGGTATTTTATAGATTGTTGTTCAGTATAACTCTATATGTGAATATATTACATGTTTTTTAAAAGCAGGTTACATTGTCTATTATTTTGTTGAACATGACCAAATATTTCCAGAGCTTTCACTTGAACAGATCTCTGAAATAAACTTTCTAATCTGTTGGATGAAGGACTTAAAGGCAAACTGTTAATAATAACAACATAATGACATGAAGGAAATGTTTATAAAATACTACATGAATGTGCAYGCCAGATAACAAACCAAAAGACATCCCAATCTCTAATTCATTCTAAACAGCTGTAATGACGGAGAAGTAAAAATTCTAATCAGGGAATGCATTCTKCCTGTTTCTCAGGGAGAGAGGGATTGCAGTTCCTCGGTAGATCACACGAGGGCCAGCTGGGAGGCCTCTGCCTTTTTCAGGAGTAACAAAGGGTCAGAATCAAGAATCACTACCTGTAATAATGTATTGAAAAGGAAATCAAGATGAAAAAATTGGCAATTTTCATTCTTTAAGACTTAAACGTAACTGCCTCTGTGTTTCTTCTTCCTCTCCTCCATATACGCACACAATATTTGCAAAAATGTTAGGGAATGGAATTTTCTGTGAAAATATATTTTTAGTCACGAAAAAAAAATATCAAATTTGTCCATCTTAAAACCTAGATGTATACTTTATCTAATGATAAATAACATCATATTTCACTTTGGTAATGTCATTAGTTCTAACAAATATTTACGGTGAAACACTTTTCATTTTATTAATTTATCTGTTTCCTTTTCATCTGCAAATATTGATTTATTATTTTTAACTATTTTCTCTCTGTGAAGACACAGTTTTGATGAAGACTCCTTCTCAAACTAATTAATACTATGAAGAACAGCMTAACATATATCTTCTACTGAATTTTTATTTTGCTAAGCCATGGAATTACAAACAACAAAGTTCATATTTCAAGCAACCTTGTTTTAAAGGTTGCATGTCTCAGTAATTAATTAGTTTTCTGGTTACAAACATGCAGACATTAAATTAAACTAATTGGGTTTTGTGAGAGCTTCTTTTGATTTTAAGAGCAGGTAGCATATAGAAAAATTTTAAAATCCCCAGAACTTGACAAACAAGCTAATATACTTTCACAATAAATAAATAAGCTAATAAGCCCTTGTTCTAGCTTTTCTGGCAATTGTTATGGCTTTATAATTGTGATTTTTCAAATATAATTAGTCCCATCCTGCCTCCTGTCTGAAGGGCACAGGCATAAGCATTGCACAGCAGAAGTGAAATGGTACTTAYTCATTCATCCTGTCCACTGAACTCAATGTCTGGACTGTCTCACACATTTAAATATTTGCAGCAGTTGGGAGCCAGCATGAATGAAATGTACCACGTAGAGAACCTGACACCTTCTTTCATTTTTTTTCGTAATGCTAGTTGATTTTTTAAAAGGTTTTTGAGAGAAATGCTTTGCATTCGCCTAATGCATCTTCAAAGTTGAAGGGGAAAATGCTTAAGTAGGAGTTGTTACTTCTGTGTAAACAAGGTGCTCCTCTGAATACACTGTGAAAATGTTTCCACTAATAATTGCTTCAATTTCTATTTTTACTATCCTAACTGTATATATTCTCAGTGGTGCTCTTTTGTCCCTTTGTATTTTGCATTTTGCAATCACAACACTTCCTAGACACTGACATTTCAGTATTTCTTTTTCTTGTATTAACACTAAGTGACATTTAAAATGTGGCCCACACACAGTAACCCCACAGTCTTTTGGCAGCTGTTTCACTGACCTTGGCTGGAGCTCTTCCTGGCTCTATGGGGATTGCAAATTTATGTAACTGGGGTTTGACTTCCCCTGCTCAAATGTTAAATCTAGTCTCTTCCTCAGTACCTACATCACACKGATAGAAAATAAGCATTTTCCTCTGCTGCTGGCTCAGTCCCAGCATGGGAAAAGATTTAGTGCRTCAGTGTACCAATAAATCTATCAGCTTGCAGATTCTGCAGAAAATGCCAGCTGTAGCACAGCACAGAGATATGCGGTACACAAAATCCCGTTCAGATCTGGAAATCCTGCCATGCTTCATTTTGCATTTTACCCAGTAAATGGCTATTATTTTGCTTCCTTTGTGCCTATGGAGGAGACTGAAAGAGAAACAAGGAGCTGAAAATGTCAAAATCTAGTAAATAATGTACAGATATTTAACATGGCTTTGGCTGGAAGGTCTAAGTTCTTACCTTCTTAAAAATGTTAGGGATTTTACATCACCTCTTGCTACCATACATAATTACAAAAAAGTTTCTGCTCTGTGTGATACTCTTTTTCGAAGGAAATATGAGTTGTGTACACTGGAAATGAAGAATCTGACATTACACACTTYGGCTGAGAGTCACTTAAGTTAATGAATAATTAATGGTATTTTTATATGAAAATGTATTGTTATGTAAAACAATAAAAATTTGGCTAAAATTGATTAATCTAGTTTATTAAAAAAATATAAACACAGTTCATATTGGACCAAAAATGGACTGTAGGCTTTCATTATGTAGTAGGGGCTACCTTTCAGTATGGGACTAGAAAAATAAAACTGAATTCTACTGGGTACTCCCWTGTTTAGTGATTACAGATATGTTGTGATCCTGAAAAGTCCAGATTAAATGTAAGTCTTATAAACACGGATATGCTCAATTGCATTTTTGTATGTAATATCATAGAATTGCAGCAAAGCAGTTGCTAAAGATGCTGAATTGGGAAGGAACTGACTAACATTGTACTAACATTATACAGTTGCTTCTATTTTGAAAAAGTTGTCGAGAATGAGTGTTTGGGAGAATGACTTCAAATAAAATTATGACTATGCCTTGGGTAATGAGTAGAATTGTCACTTAAGATGCACTTTAGGATGCCCTCTTTTTCAGTGTGAGGGATGTTGACATATCTGAATGTTACAAATGATGAATTTTTCATTAATAGTGTCAAATAATTAGTGCTAAGTATTTAATGAATGTGTTGCACATTTCAATAAACGTTTGTATTTTCCTAAGTTTGTCTGTAATTTTTTTTTTCTTTCTGTAATATAAGCCATACTCASAGAATGAGTGGCTGCATTCACCAGAGATCTGTAATTCTGGATTCATTTAGTCTGTATTTAGCGGGGGGTGCTGCTTGTACGGTGCCAAGGGCAGCATCTAGGCCGAAATGCAGAACAATGGTGGTGATTCTCCTCGTGATGAAAAGCGCTTGTTACAAGCCTGAGTGGACTGGGCTGCGCTGGGAGAAGACAGTTCAAATACCTTGTGCTGTTCAGATGACAGCCGATACAAAAGGCACAGCTATCCATAAAGATCCGAGGACAAAAATAAGATTATCTTSTGTTACGGTAAATAAGAGAGAAAAGCCAGTCTATTTAGAAGACAAGCAGCTTCTCAAGCTCATCGTCCATTTTCAGGCTCAGTGTAAACTCTCRTGTTAAACAGCCTGAAATTGAGCTTTTCACAGTATTAGGGTGCGTGTGAGGGTTGCGAGAGGTGGCTTAGGTTTTTACCCCCGCTTTGCCATTTCCCCCATCCCCCGCATATTGCGGCGCGGTGAGGGTGCCCAGCAGCGGTGCCGCAGGGAGCGGCGGCGTGTGTCACCCTAGGGGCTGTTGTGCTCTGTGTGTCACCCACTTGCTGTGCTCTGTGTGTCACCCTAGGGGCTGTAGTGCTGTGTGTGTCACCGCTGGGGTTGCAGTGCTGTGTGTGTCACCCCCGAGGCTGCTGTGCTGTGTGTGTCACCCCCAGGGCGGCTGTGCTGTGTCACCGCGGGGGTTGCAGTGCTGTGTGTGTCACCCCCGGGGTTGCTGTGCTGTGTGTATCATCCCCGGGGTTGCTGTGCTGTGTGTGTCACCCCCGGGGTTGCTGTGCTGTGTGTGTCACCCCCGAGGTTGCAGTGCTGTGTGTGTCACCCCCGGGGTTGCAGTGCTGTGTGTGTCACCCCCGGGGTTGCAGTGCTGTGTGTGTCACCCCCGGGGTTGCTGTGCTGTGGGTGTCACCCCCGGGGCTGCAATGCTGTATGTGTCCCCCCCGGGGTTGCTGTGCCGTGTGTGTCACCCCCGAGGTTGCAGTGCTGTGTGTGTCCCCCCCGGGGTTGCTGTGCTGTGTGTGTCACCCCCGGGGTTGCAGTGCTGTGTGTGTCACCCCCGGGGTTGCTGTGCTGTGTGTGTCACCCCCGGGGTTGCTGTGCTGTGTGTGTCACCCCCGGGGCTGCTGTGCTGTGTGTGTCACCCCCGGGGTTGCTGTGCTGTGTGTGTCACCCCCGGGGTTGCTGGGCTCTGTGTGTCACCCCCGGGGTTGCAGTGCTGTGTGTGTCACCCCCGGGGTTGCTGGGCTCTGTGTGTCACCCCGCTGAGGCCCGGCCGATGGCTGAGCTGCGCCGCACGGATCTCGCACACAGCTCCCACTCGCTCCCAGCTCGGTGCGGCTCCCGCCGTGCCTCTCTGCCTGCCGCAGAAGGACCGGCCCTGGTTCCGCACATGCACGGACAGCAGGGAAGCACCAGCAGCTCCCGCAGAACGGCCGTGCCCGTCATGGTTCCCGTGCGTTCCCCTCCTTCCTTCAGGGGCAGGCAGGACAAGCCCGCCGCCTCCTCTGCACMCCCAGCCCCGTCGCTCTCTGTGGCCGCTGACGGACCCGCTGGGCCCGGGCCATCATGAGCAGGCAACCTGAGGTGCTGTGCTTCAAGCAGATGACAAACCCCAGGGTAAAAGCGGCGTCGCTGCTCGGCTCGGCTCGGCTCGGCACGGTTCAGCACGGTTCAGCACGGCCGGGCCGGCGGCGCTGCCAAGCGGGAAATCCCGGGATCCCCCGGCCCGCTCCCACCGCCGCCGCCAGGGGGCGCCGCTGTGCCTGGCGCGGCGCGGCCGCTTCAAAGTGGGCGGTGGCGCGAGCGCGGCCGTTAATGGCGCCCGCCCGCCCCCGCCCGCCCTCACCCCACCCTCCTCCTCCGCCCCCGCCGGAGAAAAGACCGGGAGCGGCGCCCGCCGCGCACACTCCGGCTCCGCGGGGGGTGGAGACCATGGATGGGGCGGCGGCGCCCTGCCACGGCTCCGCGGGATAGCGCGGGACAGCGCCGCGGGCCACGGCTCCGCGCCGGCAGGGGCTGCAGCGGCACGGTAAGGCGCCCGTGGCGGCGGGCGGGCGGGCGAGCCGGTGCGGCGGGAATGGAGGCGCCTCCTGGGAGAGCGGGGGCGCCGCCCGGGGCGATTGGGGGATCTCCCGGGGCGGTGGGGAGTCGTCGCTCACCCCGGCCCTGGGGCAGCGAAACGCGGCGCCGGAGCATGCGGGGCACCTACGACCCCTTTCTGTAAAGGGCTGGTCCGGGCGTTCCCCGCGGCGGCGTTATCCCTGTCCCTGTCGCTGCTGCCCGCCGGCAGCCCTGGCCCTCAGGGCGCTGTGTCGGCAGCGGTGCCTGGCCCCGGGGAGGGCACAGCACGGCTCAGGCTGCCGGCGGGAAGCGCCGCGTCGGGATCGTAATGACAGCGGCTCCTTASTCCCGCGTGTGCTCCGTCCTGGGCTTTCCATAAATGAGCGAAAACCTCTCGAAACAGCGCAGTGCCCTGGAGTGCGGTAGCCACTCTTCGGGGAGGGAGAAATAATGAGTGTAGGGGTCTGTGGAGTGCCATCCCCAGCCGGTGTTCTCGGTACAAGCGAAGTGTGCAGCTTGGGGAGAAACCGGTTTCGTTTGAGTTGCAGTGGTGGAAGAAATGGGAGAAAGGCTCGCGTTTTCCATTCCTGAGCTGAAGAGATGTTACCGTTGACTTGAGCTGCTGGAAGACCACATAGGTACGCTAATGAGGTTGCCCCTCCACCCGCTTCCTCAAGGGTATCTTGTTCCTGAACAGATCAGGCCTTCCATCGTGTGTTTATTGCTTTTATAGACCTGGAACAGGGAGTGTCAGCGGGGCAGGCTGATGGAAGAAGATACCAGCTGTTTGAATTTTTTCTGTATTCTTGGAAATACTGTCACTTCTGCCCTGGAACATAATATTCTACAACAAGCATAAATGATGATTTATAAATAGATCCGTTTGTTTATATTGTTCCTCGTGTAGCCAAACAACTGTTTACATTCTGAAGTGGATTGCTTCATTTCAAATTAGCTTATCAGTGCTGGCCCAGGAGTGGCTAAGCTGAAGTTACATGTTCTTGGGCAGAGTGCTACGGGAGAGATTAGATCAGTAGTTTAAACTTCTGGTGGCTGGCAGTCTGCTTGTGTGTGCTTTTCTCACAGTCATGAGGGGCTAGTGAAGGGGTGATCGGGGGTAAAAGAGTGTGTGGGATTGTAGTGTGGTGAGGGAGAGATTTGTGCCTTTAATGAAAATGCTTAGTTTATATTTAAATGGGACTTTATAGTGTGGGAAAACTTAGATTATTTTTTCTTGGGAATGAGGTAGCAGTCAAAGTGACCTGACTTGAAGTTTGTTAAATACCCAAGAGAAACAAGGTGAAGTGAGAAGAGTGGTAGTAGAAGGAAGAAATCCTTTTGTTTATGAATGTCTGGAAAAAGACAGGATTTAGCCCACCATCATCCTTGCCCCTTAGGATGAAGTTTTTTTCTTTACTCCCCCCTCTTTCCCTGGCCATCATGTCTCATCATTATCCTCTTGTGCAGTCTGTGTAGTATGAGGGGGTGAAACCATCTGTRATTGAAATAATACTACAATGATGGGTGTTTCAATTTGATATAACTACTTTGAATAAGCCATCCTTTACGTAAAACAGGGTTGATTTCCCATCATTTCCAAATCACCATGATTTGTATTCTAGGAGCTGGTAGATCAAATCATGTGTTTATTGTCTGCAGTTATTGTATTTTAAGTCACCTTCACTTACAGACTGGTTTTTTTTTTTTTCCAATCTGATATTTTAAGGCAATAATTTACTGGGAAAAGAAGACTGTATATTTGCTTAACTTTTTTGGTTTTAGGTGTGGAGTGGGTTTTTCCCCCCCAGTACTACCTTCCAAGTATTTGTCACATTTCATGTGGAGTTCTTTTATGACTCCTGACAACTTTTCTTTCAGTTAAGCCAAAGGACAAGGCTGCTGTCTTAAACATGAGTTTTGGCTGCAGTGTCATACAGTGGGTATGAATGGCTTCAGTGTGTCTGTTGTATTTACAAGAATGCTCTCATAGGCTGGCAGAAGACTGTTGTTTGCCCTCCCAGTGCTGATTCAGGGAAAAATAGTGGCTCTGATCATCCTGCAGCATGGTCGACAAGCACAGACCTCTCTCCTAGAGAGCAGCAGGGGAATTGTAACCTGTTATCACCATATTTCTGGTGTGTTAGTATCAATGGTAATGCAGTTCAGTTAGTAGGCTGTGGTTTGATTAGAAGATTCCTTTTTACATCTTGAGTTACAAAATGGAAGTGGAAAACAGCGACAAACTAATATACCACTGGGTTTGAATGGTGTAGTGATTCTGTTGTGTCTAACTTAGGCTGTGGTCAGGCACTTAGGCAGAGTGTGTTTGTAWGGCAGGATCCTTTTCTGTTTTGCTTTGCAGAAACAAGCTCAAAAAATTAATCTTTCCCTGACCTTGTGAAGATCAGACAAAAAGATCATAGTGATAATGTCTGTTTTTCACTTCTGATGGCTGCTAGGAACTATTGAAAATATACTTACTTTTCTGGCTGCCTGCTGCAAAGTGATAGGAATGTTTTTTGTATTTCCTAATCAACTGGGATCAGAAATGCTTACATTTTTTCTGCATATGCAGTCAGCAAAATCTGGAGGTGGCAGTGATAGCACAAAATGGGGTTTCAAATAGCTTGATTGTTTGTTGATGGTGCCACTTATAGCGGTAACACCATAAGAGTCTTTTTCTCAAAAAGGCTGAAGAAAATGAGGAACAGAGAAAGTGAATCAATGTGTCTGGTAACTTTTTATTTACTGTGAGGAAAAAGTATCTTGTCAGATGGTTCTAGTCTTGGCATGACAATGTTATTTCTTCATTGCAGCATTTTTTTAATCTTTTCATTCAAAGAATAGCAAGTGAGTGGTAGCTTGTTGCATGGAAATATGTTGCTGTTACCCTCCAGGTATCAATATGACCATTTAATACAACTACATCCTGTTTATATTGTATGGAAGTGACTTGTGATTGAAGAAATGCACTAAAGCTTATTTAATATAACCCTGTTCTTCTGCATGATCTCTAATGGATGATCTGAAATACTTCGGAGTGTAGATGGGTCTTGCAGGTTGTCTGGAAAATAGAATTCTAACTTACCAGGTTCAGGTTTTTTGATTACATGCAAATGTTCAGCTTTGTTTGCACTGATCACTGCTTTGCTTGTGAGCAGCTAGATTCCATAGTTTAGGAGTCTTTATTCTTGAATTTCACTTGGAAATTTTACTGTTCTGTTTCTGAGTATTTGGGTTATTTCTTGTAACCATAAAACTCCAATATGAACTACAAGCTACAAAAGAGATCAGTATGATTCTTGGAGACAGTTTCAGCTAACCAGCCTTCGTCTCAACAGATCATATATAGGATAAGAATTGTGTACTATTCTACACGTCCAGTCCTTGTGGAGGGCTCTTATACTTAGCCAGTGAGGAATATGAAAATGAATTAGGAAAATATATTGAAGCAAAAATCCATTATTGACCCTTGATAATCTGATACATGATCAGCTTCTTTCTATTATTATTTCTGCCATTGCTGTTTAACAGTTGATTTTGCTTCATGTTCTATTGCTAGAGAGGATCCATGTGTGGATTCTATAATCTCACAGATAATATTAATTTCCTTTTATACGTAGCTATATATGTGTAGGTATATAAACATATACGATATACAATATTTTATGCAATGTATGTATAGAAATACTTTTTTTTTTACTCTTTATTTTCTCTAAACAGCATCTGATGGAGGCAGTCTGATAGAAGCATCAGACGTGGTTGCATTCCATCCCCCTACACAGTATTTTCAGTCAGCACTGCCTCCCTGCAGTGAACACACAGGGTGGTCTTGGTGATAGTGGTGAGCAGAGTCCATTCCTTGCCCATTTAAATGCCCCCTCCCTGGGGTGACAGGAGGGGTCTTGCTGCATTCCTTAAAGCAACTGTATTTTTCTGGGCCTGATGCTTCAGACAATGCTTCCCTTTTTAGGAGGAAAATGACTGTTTTCTTACTCTGTGTTTCCTTCTATTGCTACCTGAGGGAAACAGTTTTCCCTTCATCTCTCTATTGCTGTATTAAGAAATGCATCCATCCAGACAGAATGAGAGCAATGCTCTGCGATTTTTGTGGTCAGGCTCGTGTCTCCAGTGCAGTCTTGTAACACAAACTGCAAGTTCAAGACTAAGCTATTTGCAGTCAGCACAWATGTATTTTTAGCCTGGTTTTCTGAGAAAATAGAGATTGCATGCAACTCTCTGTGAATGTCTGACCTTCATTTTTGCTCTTTATTTCTAAACCTTTTGAGCAATTCCAGTTGCATTTGTGAGAGGGTGGAAATTTACCTCCAATAAACCTACACCTTTGCTGGCAGTAGGTAGCCTTGCCAGATGGAAAGATGCTTGCTGAAGGAGAGATGGAAGTCTGAACTCTTGCAACTTTGACACAGATTCCTAGGAAACTGGCTTTTACTGGCTCAGYTGCTTACAAATCAACTTACATTGTGTTCCTGTTTTTTGACAGTTTCAAATTATACTGTTATATTCGTTTCTGGATTTTTTTCCAGCAGTTTTGAGTATGGAAGAAGTTCAAGTGTTTAGTCTTTAGCTYCAGGTAGTTTTATAATATGGCAAAAGGTACATGATGAGAAAGGAAAGATTCATTGGCTTTTTAAGGATTTTATTTAGTTGCTGTCCTTCATACATATTCTTATGTGAATTCTCATTTGTTAAAATAATTGTTTTAACCCTTGTTTTTTATTAATTTTGCTTTGTAATAGCAATTCTTTAGAAACTCAAACTTATTTTTGTAGTTGCATTGTGTCAAGATTGTTCCCCAAATGAAACAAGACTTGATAGGATGCAAACTGAAACAGTTAAGTCTGATTTCTGTGTTTCTCTTCAGTATTTGTTTTCTGTAAACAGACTCTGTGTGACCCTTTCAGTTAGCTGATCACTTTTGCACACAGTTATCTGTTGAATACATCTTGTGGTCTTTGTTTGTCTTGTCATGCTGACTTGATTAATGTTGTACCATCATCTCTCTTAATGAATAATGTATTTCCTGTCATGCAGTTGGAGCCTAGAGAAGAAACACCTACACCTACTTTCTTAGATTAATTATGCATTACTTTTACCTTTGAAGTGTACTGTCTGTTCTTACTTTTTCCACAAAAGTGCTGACCAAAGATACATGTTGAGGGTGTATAAGGTATGTTAGATTTTTTGAAAGGGAGACTGTATTTAAATTTTAAAAACCCACAACTTTTAATAAAGATTTCCAGTTTTTTTTCTTTACTTCTGATACTTATTGACATCTTATATTTTGAAAGGTTTGCTTTAAATCACTAGGTTATGCTTGTTAATTACTGTTTCTTAGTTGTGTATGTGTGTGTCTAGTGTTCTAGCAAAGATGTAGTGACAGTATTCACTAGGTMTCACTAACTGTCGCTGGAAAGCTGTGAGAGGTAGGACAATCACAGTCACAGCTGCAGGAGGCACGTGTCAGCTCTGATGGGCTGTTGATGCCCATTCTGTCTTGAGGTTTGGTCTCATTGGTCCTCAGGACCAGACTTGGACCCTACTGGCCTCTGCCTTGCTCCAAAGACTGAGCTAAGGTCATAAGTTTTGTGCCTCAGGTATGCTCTAGGYAAAACAT